CAAGGGACAATCTGGATAAATAAAGGTTTGAAATTAAATGAACACTGTCTCTTTTTCTTTGCAGATATCCAAGATAGCAGCGTACGCTTACAGTGCAATTTCACAAATCAAAGTGGATGCTAAAGAAGAACTGGTGGTCCAGTTTGCTATTCCCTGATTCTGCTACCATGGCCTGCATACTGTTTCTCCCATCACGCTCTCTTTTATGTCACTTCTGCATCAACACCCACAAGCCCACCATTTATTAAAGCATCTCAGTCCTTTCTGCTTCTTAGCTTTGTCTCTAACTGCTATAAAGACAGAAACGATGTAGGATTGCACCCTATGGCCGTCTTAATTTAGTGTACATAATTGTGGGTCAGTGACAAATCAGCATGGGCAAGGGAAGATGGTCTACTATAGAAGGGCCATTGGGGTATACTCCTTTATTTACAACAATTACTCCTCTGTACGCAATGCGTGGATCACAGACTCAGTCAGAACCAGCTGGAAAATCATAATTCATCCTACTTGTTGATCTCCCTAATTTTACTCAATTTAGTTTGTTCCCTTCGCCTGTACACTCAGGCAAACAGACTGTTATAAAGGCGTGGAAGGATGTACAGTGTATTCACCTGGGATAGAGTTGAAGGATTTCTGGCACAATGCATAAGCTATTGGTGTGTATACAATCTTCACTGGAACATGGAGAAATACGAAATCTCTGTCATGGAAGAATTAAAATGATCACAGTACCGTAGGTGCAAGTACAATGGTATTTTAGCCATTCACCAGGATAAAAACTTGCAATATGGCATAAAGGTAGCACTAAATATGCCTTTAGCTCTGTTGTCTGTTGGGAAAACATTCAGAAATAGTCAAGTAAAGAAAATATGTCAGCAAGATGTCACTATAATTTAGACGGTTTACTACTACAGTCCTGATGTGTGCTGCAGAGACTTTAGGCATCACACAACCCAGTTATCTGGTGTCACACTTCACCAACCATGTCTGCCTGCCACCCAAACATAATCAGTAAATAGTTGGTTATTTGTTGTCCAGTGGGTAATCTGTTGTTCCATTTGAGGCTAAATTGACCTGTTTATGGTTGGTGTGCTCTGGAGGGTGAGGATGCGAACATAAGCAGGGGGATGCTGGGTGGGCATAATGTTTTGAGTTGACAGACAGTAATGTGTCCTCTGCTTTTTTTTAATAGCACTGAGTAAATGTATCTGGCAAACTCTTTAAATCCAATCCCAGAACTTCACATATTTAATAGCGGACGAGGCATACAGCGATGAGAGGGCGGGCAGGTAGAGGGTGCACGGACATTAATCATGTATTCATGCCGCCTTTGTACAGAATTTTCTGATTGATCATAAAAACACGAGTTGTATGAAGTTCCTCTTTTTGTAGAGAGTTCATTGGTCAGGATTGGCTAAGATTTGAGTAGTGATAACAAATGTTTTTATGAAATGGAAGAACCCTTTTAAGGCCTGCAATTGTTAGCTTTTAAGCAAAGCTTTTCGCTGCAGACTAATATGATTGAGTTGCTCATATTAATCAGGAACTAACCATTGTAGCAGTTTGGGGGAGCGCTAACAACCTATGTACCAAAACAGATAAAATGATCCGAGACCTTTTGTGATTATTTATTTGTGTTTTAAAATGTTTATTTGCTCTTTGGAGGAGAGCACATGACTGTATGCGTGTGCAGGGAGCAGTCTCTAAAGGGATGATCTGCAAGGCTGTGATTACTTCAACCACGCAACTGATTTGAGCTTTTTGCAATGGGTTTTTGGCATTTGTTTCTGTTTTCTTTGTTACTCAAATGTGTTCTACTACCTGACATGTTTGATATATCTTAGGCTAGCACCAGAAAGTTTTAAGAATTTGTTGTTTTTGTTTGTTTTTTGGTTTAATTATCTCATTAAAGATGTTCAACATAAGCACTCTTGTCTTATTACTTATACCCGTGAAGTGGCTGCACATCAGCAGTATGTTAATGCCCAAACTATTAATTCCATCAAAGAAATTGGACAAAAGCATTGAAAAAAGTGCTGATTTAACCATAAATATTCAAACAAACAATGTTTTAGAAATGATTATAGCAATGGATTTGGGGCACAGGACATTTGGGTGAAACTATGATTTCAACGACTTGTTGCTTCTGATGCGGCTGTTGCTCTGATGCCAAATCTCTGCCATGACTCGCTCCTGTTGGGTCACAGCACTGAAGTCCATCGTCTTCAACTGAGGCAGAGCAGAAATCCCACGATTCCTAAAGGGACAACAACAAGTATTGATGCACACGCACTAAATCGTTTTAATACATTTTGCTTGCAACAATTGAATGTTGAAATCCAACCTTATTTCCCCTTTCTGGTGTTACACATTTAAATACAAATGATTCAAAAAGGTACAGGATTTATGAGAACCCGGTTCATTAGAATAGACCTTTGACCAGCAGCCCCTCTCTCTTTCTGTGTGTGCGCTTGTGGTGTTGCTATGCAGACTGGAATATGAACTGTAACATGAGCTTGATGTGCATTTAAGCACCTGTTACAATGCTGAGCACCTACAGGCTTGCCAAGTATTTGAGTCTCACTCAGCAAACCACCAGCAGTTGTATATTGTTAAATCAGAATAAGGTTTATTGCCAGGTGGGTTTTCACTTACAAGGAATTTGCCTTGGTGTTTTGGTGCATCCGATAAAAATCAAGTGTATACAAATAAAATACAATGACAGGAAAGTACTGCTTAATCAAAAATATAAATATAGACTATGACAGTAAAAATAAAAGGAAAATGAAAAAGATACTATAAAAATAGTACAAGAAATATGTTCAAAAGGAAAGTTCAGTGCAAGATTTGGAAAAATATGTCTTTGCACATTCATTCACACTCAGTTTTTTAAATAAATAACCACACGACAATGACTGATCATTAAAAGGATCATCATACAGCTAAGCAGAATGTGTTTGGGGTACATTTCAAAGAAACTCTCCACCTGTAAGCCTTGTTGGTTTCTATGACATTTCCATGCAGAGTGATGCTGTGTAGATGTGGTAGTGCTCCCAGCCGGTCCACCTCTGAGAGAATGAAAATGCTGTTGCCGTGAAGATACAACACACGCAGCTCACGCAGCTCGCACAAAACCTGGAACACAAGCACACACATGTACATATTGCAGATGTAGGCTACTGTGGGAGAAAGAAGACATGCTAATCCAAGGAAAGAGGAAGATTACTTTATCTATGTGTGAGATGCTGTTGAAGGAGAGGTCCAGCCAGGCGAGCTGTGAAGGCTCGGCCAGGAAGTAGTTAACCGTCTTCTGGAGGTCGAGGAGGTCGAGGATGTTGTTATTATTGAGACGTAGAGAGCAGCTTGGGTACTTCATCTCTGAATTTCTCTTTAAAGGCCGCAGACCCCTGCTGGGTTCTTCAGTCCATGCACCTGAGACCAAAGAAAAGGGAAAAATATAGGCCTACTTTGAATTGAATAGTTTATTGCGTTACATTTTTTTTATATGGTGAACATTGTTTCCAAGGCATCAACTGTATATGTATTGTGTCTATGTCAATGTCCATTGAACTTACGTTTTTAAACTATATACATAGATATATGTATAGATAACTATATAAAACAGCATATAGAATATATAAACATAGATATTGTGTCTTTAGGTGTGGGTTGTTAACCCTGCTTAATTGAACATGTATGCCTTTTTATGTATTACTGTCTTCCACATGAAGCTATCTTACAGGCTTTTTCATTTTTTGCTAACCATCATTAAAAGGCAAAGATAATAAAAAATAAACATAATACAGTACAATTATAAATATGTGTATAAGTGTATACCTTCCAAACTGCAGATGTTTTTGAAAGATAAATCCACTGGAGCTCCATACATAATCGTCTCTATTTCAGTCACCTGTTGAAGGACAGTGACTTCATCGTAAATTAGAAGATCATACGCAATTCATTTGAAAAACAAAAAGCCTCATATTTTTAACATCGTATATCACGAATAATCAAACACAGTTTTGCTGTCATAACCCAGTAATTTACGGAGCGGCCACAAACTGTTGCAGTTCTTATATTTTGTATAGAAACACAATTGAATACCTTCTGTTCCCGGTTATGAACCGGTTATGAACCTACCTTGATTTAATGTTGGCGTATTAAAAAAAATTACCGACAAACTCAGCAACACGCTATTTAACTGAGGGTAATAATGAGCAACCCGTGTTTACACTTGACCTGCCTGTGGAGATACAACACGGCGTTTCCACGGCAACCAACAGGTACATGGGATTTGTAGTTAGGGTTTATTTGTAATCGATCAAGATAACCTTTAAATTGCATTTGCCCAAAGTAATGTCCAAATACCTCTAATCCTATAGGCTACACACTGTATAACATTTGATAATTACAGAGTTATAAGCCGCTAAGGAGCACACATGCTGCCTATCAATTATTAACTGTGCATGTATAGTTCTAGAAACACCTTACAATACATTTGTAAAAATAATCATTTCGTAGCCTATGCAGTTATCAAGTCTTGTAATATCCATCCATCGTTAACCACTTATCCGGAGTCGGATAGTAAGGTAAACACATTAATGACCAGACAGTAATTTAAAAACTACAATTAAATAAAATTAACATAAATGGAAACATTAAACAATAACATGCAGTGCCTGCGCCCTGCTGCTGCAAAGCGGGAGCAATGTTTTGTTTGGCCCGCGTGTAACGTAATGATTCGGACAAGAAAATTGAACCAAACAACATTTTAATGTCCACTGTGAATATTACCCAAGAACGTAATACTGTCTGGGTGCATTTGGTTTTTAAACGTCAGTTGTCTCCGCCTACTTTAGACCGAAACGCTCCGGCATCAAAAACAAGCGCAACTTTAAAGACGTCATGCATTTCAACCAATCAGATTCGCTTATTTTCAGACGCGTCAATATATGAAACCTGATTGGCTGATTTGATTTTAAACTACCCTTTTTGAATTTCGTGTGGTTTTAGCACGGGACACTGTTTATTTTTAGGCAGGTAGTCGGGCGGCTGTGTCCCTTTTCAGAGAAAGAATAAATACGATACAGAAAAAAAGGACAACGTCTTTCAAGGTAATTCACTGCTTGTAAGCCACATCTTTATCATCGTTGGTCTTTAAATATAAACTCACTCGATAGGTTACAGTTAGCGTTACAGTAACGGTTAGCAGTTGCAATAACTTTGCTAACATGCAAGCCAGAAGTTTAGCAAGGTGTATAGTTAACTTTAACTACTTATTTCAATGACTGGATGTGTCAGAACTTTCTCCAATTAGACAAAACTGAGGTAATGGTTTTTGGAGCCAAGGCAGAACGTATACAAGTTAGCGCTGAGCTTCAGTCTGCAATGTTCAAAAGAACAGATAAAGCCAGAAATCTAGGTGTAGTCGTGGACTCTAACCTGAGTTTCAACAGTCACATTAAAACAATTACTAAATCAGCCTACTATCACCTAAAGAACATATCTAGGATTAAAAGACTAATGTCACAGCAGGATTTGGAAAAACCTGCCCATGCTTTTAATATCTTCAGTAGACTCGACTACTGTCATGGTGTCTTTGCAGGTCTCACTAAAAAATCTATTAGAAAGCTGCAGCTTCAGATTCAGAACGCTGGCCCGTCCACACAGCAGCGTTAAAAAAATCTTCCAACGCTTCTGCCGACTTTGAATAGGGTGACGTCACTTTTTTTTGGGATGAAAACTTGTGAACGTCAATAATCAAAGTCAATGCTTATATTTTCTAATTCGTTAACTGATAAGGCTTGTTTGTTTTCAGGTTGAAATCCCTTTGGGGAAAAAGGGTCAGCCAAGATGGCGATGAATTCGGGTGTAAAGGCTCTTCTGAGCTGGGTAAGTTGAAAGTAAACTTTGTCATATAGTTGATTGTAGCTACCATTATTCAATTGTTTGTTTACCCAACTTGTCAAACTAACGTCATGTGTTTGCAGGTCAACAACTTAAAACTGTCTGAGCGTGAATTGACTGTCGACGATTTACAAGATGGGACAGTTTTACTGAAAGTTGTTTATATGCTGTAAGTAGTAGCTATCAGGGAGCATCATGTGATGACATGTTTGTTCTGTGTAAATAAGTGATGGCCAATGACTGTTGAACTATATTTTGAAAATGCTTTTCCTGTAAGTGGGTTCTTTTGAAGTATAGAGATGATAATTTCTCTAAACCTCCACTTTATTCCTATTTCGTTCTGTCCTCTCAGGAAAAAGGAACCCAACTCCTGTGTCAGTAATACTATCGAGGATCGATTCCAGCTCATTGCAGACTTTGTGGAAAGTGAGTTTCTATACCTTAAAAAATATATATTTTCAGATATTGCTTTAATGTGATTTAAGTCTAGCTTGCTTCCAGTTTTGTGCTAAGAAGACATACCATGTTCTAGACCTGTCACTGTACTGATTGCATGCAGAAGACTCTTGAATTGTCATCTGACAGTGCTTGACACAGCAAAAATCATTAAGAATTTCTTGAATTGTGTGAAATAGCTGAGAGTAAGGCATTGATTATTCTAACGTCTTCTGGTTAAACATTTCAAATGTGCTACTCCAGACCACTCCCCGTGACATTGTTGGGCGTGGTCTGAAGTTTACACTTTGGCACCTTCAAACATGCCAGACATATGTGACATATTGCTTTTTTTTCTTCTATCGATTTTGCTATTAGGGGATTGCAGATTTAATGCAGCCAAAGGCACTTCATTATCTTGGGACAACATAAAAGATGGGATACATCTCACAGTAGAAATTGCGAAGGTATGAAACAAACACAATACAAAGACAAACATAAACAGAGGACCATAATCTCACTTATTCTTTGTGATGCCACCAGGTGCTTTTGTTGCTTGTGTACCACGATTTAATGAATGACCCCTGCACTCTGAACATGATTGAATCTAATTCGGAGGTAAGCAGAAAGCTTTTTTTCTGATTTGCTACGAAGTCCATGCGTTCACCACTTAGATGCATCACATTTCACTTATCATGTGTTGTGCTACTATTTTATTCTGTGCCTATTCTCTTATCTGTAGCAAGAGATAGCAAACTTAACTGGTTCCTATGTAATGGAGAGTGACGGCTGCGTTTATCTGAACAAAGGACTTGATGCCTATTTAGCAAGAAGATGTAAGTCACACATTCAATCCTCCATTTCTTTATAATATGCCACACTGATAGACATTAGTGTCACATGTGCAATTCTGCTTTATAACACCATTTGGCTATATGTATTTCTCCATGAATTTCAGATATGTCTTTTTCCCGTGAAATATTTGAGCGATCAGCAACCGTCTCTACTTCCAATGTGTCGACTATGTCCTCGTTGTCCGATGACGACTCCCCTGTCTTCCACCGCAGACAGAAAATCTCATTTATGGACTTGCAAACTGTGGCTTCTTCTTCAACCAGGTAACAGTGTGAATTTGAATTAATATGACACAGTCTGAATCCGAATACGTAACTTTAAGGGCAACGTTAATCCAAACCTTTAATTTGGGTACTTTTTCCTAACGATATTACATTTATATAGTTTTGTCCATTGAAAGGCTGTCAGCTTCAGGCAGCTGTGTATCTATTTTTTGTTATAAAAAGTTTTTGGATGAACATGGAAGCAGGTTTATCTACTATACCTTGCTAAACTTGTTTTTTTATTTCACACAATCAGAATATGGCTGACTGAAGGGTTGGATATTACTGAAACATAACATGAAGCAGTCTAATATACATGTTATCTGATAGTTGTATATATCTCTTTGTGTGCGTAAATCCATGAGCAGCCAGCTTGATTTGATTGTATTTCTTTTGCTTCTGCTTTGGTTTCCACAGCAACTCTCCTCTGCAGGATATCATGAACACGCCTACATTTCTGCTGAGGAAGATGCAACGACAGATGATCAAGGAGAGAGACTACAAAGATGGGTTGGAGCGGGAGCTGGCCAGCAGACTTGCACTCAGTGCACAAAGAGGTACCCCATTTAAGTGATGGATAAATAATAATATTAAACTTTTTATGCTTTTTTTTGTTATGTTTATATAACATTAATATTAGGGCCGGGACTTTAACGCGTTAATTAAGATTAATTAATTACACAAAAATTAACGAGTTACAAAAAATTAACGCATTTTAATCGCACTTATTTTTGCACCGCGGAACGTTTCTCACTGGATGAGTTTCAGGCGTACCGATTATACTGGAGCACCAACTAACGTTCATGACTTCAGACAACAACAAACCACAGTGAACAACAGTGGGAAATGTTGTTTTAAAAAACGGACGGATGGAAGCGTCGATAAGAGCACGGTTGTGTGCAAATTATGCAAAAAGGAATTCGCATATCACCGCAGCACATCAAGCCTCAAGTATCACCTCAATGCAAAACATATAGCAGCTAGCGTGGAAGCTAGCGTGGACGTTAGCCTCTTTTATCGCGTTCACACCAAAAAGAGCCGGTACTAAAATTAGTTAATGAGAACCTTTTTACCCCCACGAAAGTCCCTGCTAGAGAGCAGAGAGCTGCTAGAGAGCAGGGACTTTCGTACGGCTCTCTTGTGAGAAAAGAGCTATATTTCTGATTGGCTGGGCGGATTGCAAACCACGCCCCGTAAAACTCCCAAAAAGTTTTGTGAAGCCGCCATTTTATTATCCTCGCATTAGCATTATTAGCATTAGCCCAGCGCAGAAACGCAGAGAGACTAACTTATGGCAACACAAAATAAAACATGGGAGCGGTGGAGATGAGGAGGTGTCGGCGTTCTGGCGATTTACTCGGAAGGCTGCTGGGACTCCTAGCAGCTTCTACTGAAGCCAGTCCCCAACTCCGGGGACTTCCGGCCGGGGACTTTGGGCGGCAGTATACGCCGTGAAGTGGTTTGCGGCCTGCCAGTAAACCCAAAGCAGAAGAAGAAGTGACGTCAGCGGCTTCATTTGCCTAATCCACCCCCAGGTTCAAAGAGTTCTCATGAACTAAGTTCTCATGAACCTTTGTGGGAAAAGTACTGCGGTGTGAATGCGCCTAATGGTATACTAAAATCCATGTGAAAAAAATTGCTTCTCACTGTTCTCAGGTCAAATATTTATATGTGATTAAAAATGCGATTAATTTCGATTAATTAATTACAAAGCCTCTAATTAATTAGATTAATTTTTTTAATCGAGTCCCGGCCCTAATTAATATGTTTATTAACATTGGAGTTATTTGTCAAAGTGCCACTGAAAGCGTGAATAATAATGTCAGTCTATTCATTTACTCTTTTTATTCTTTTCTATCCAAATTAAACCATGTTCTACTTGTTTTTTTTCCTTCAGAGTCCCATATTTGCCAGTTGCAGTACCGCATGGAAAAGCTGAAGGAAGCAAATGGTGATCATGAAAATGTTACTGGGGATCAAATCAATGAGCTTCTGACCAAGAACAACACGTAAGTACCCAGGATGAAGACATTTGGAAATATATTCCAATATATAAATGTTGGAATTATTACAATTGATTTATTCCTGAAGGACTTAATTAAACATTCTAAATCCAAGATATATTTTTATCTTAAGGTTTGTGAATAACTAATTTGGAATATATTTTTATATTGATGTGCCAGTAGCTTTGCAATTACAAATGATACTAAGTTCATGTTACAGCAAAGTATTAATCATAAAAAAATGGCAAGTGGAGAGTGAATGCTGCTCCGTGTTGTTATATCAAATATCTCACAAATGTTTAATTCGGCAATATGATAATGTGTAACCAGTCAGACATTTTGCTCAAAGTGCTTATTTTATACCATAACCTGAACATGAAACATTTGTATTGAAATGGATATGAGAAAGTGTTTTCCTTTTTTCTCTGTCTTAGGTTACAAATGCGTCTTAATGAGATATTAAAGGTAAATAAAGACCTCAAGGGTAACACCTCACTCATGGAACACAAAGTTGATGAGCTGGCGGAAGAAAATGGTGTACTGTCATCCCAGGTAAAACATGCAAGTTTTTCTGTGAAATGTAAGCTCTTTGTCTTATCACTAATGAGGGGATTGGAAAATAATAGCAGTCATGTGCAATTTGTATCTTGGAAAGATGCAATACCAACTGACTTTTCTTGAAACTCAGTTTTTGCATATGGTGAATATGCAAATCTGAGTCGGGTAATCGCTTATAGCAACCTTTTTACATGATAATGACATTTTAAGACTTAGTCAAGCCTTTGAAAATTAAAAAAAGTTACACTTTTGTTGTTGTTTATTGAAATAAAATTTGAGCATCTATTAATTAAACCTCTTACAACTTGATTATTATCAACAACCACAAGTTGATGTTGGGGTTTTCTCTGTAACTTGTTTCACAATGCAGAGGGGAAATATAACTTCCAAAAAATCAGTCAGGAAGTTCTTATTTGCTTGAATCCTGAATGCAGATTGTGAATGTTTCTATTCATATTTTTGCAGGTGAGAACCGTGTGTTCACAGCTTGCCATCTTTGAGACAAAAGTTGGCAGGCTGACCGAAACACAAGCATCATCTCAGGCGGAGTGGACAACTGAAAGAGGCCAACTGCAGTCTGAACTTAACCAAGCTACCGCTCAAAAGGTACACTCTAATAGAATTTAGTTGGAAAATCTTTAAATGATTCTGGTAGTAATTTAAACATAAGATCTAAACTTTTTTGCAACAAAAAAAGCAATGCCATGTCGTTTGTGAATGATTACTATTGAAAAGTGTTAATATACTGTGCCTTGTTTTGTTTCCCAGGAGCTTCTGACTGAACAAATTCAAATTCTGCAGGGAAAGATTTCCTGTTTGGAGGACGTTATAAACATGGCCACTAAGGAAGAAGTAGGAGAAAATATGGGACCTATAATGGAGGTGATGTCAATGATTTCATGTTAAAGCTGAATTGAGTTTATCAAATATAAAGTCTGCTTTTTTCAATATTTGTTTTAATTGTTTGTATCAGATGGTCATGAATGTTCTTATTTCTTCAATTTTCAGAGAGAAATGTTGGACAATGAAATCATTGGTTTGAAGAGTGAGTTGGAAAGCACATTTGGCTTCCTACAAAAAGCTGAGGTTGAAATCCAGTCCAAAACACAGCAGCTTGAAGAATACCAACAAGAAATTAATCAACATAAAGATCTCCTGAGGCAACAGGAATCCCAAACTACAGAAATTATTCAAGCCAAAGATGAAATTATAGAACAATTGCAAAAACAAATCACTGAGCAGAGAGCAGTCCTGCAGCATGAGATCCAAGATCTCAAGATTCAACTGGAGCAAGTTGAGCAGCAGAAAACCGAGCAGATGACCAGACTACAACAGCATATAACTGCTTGTGAACAAGAAATCGAAAAACTAAAGGAAATTAAGAAAGAGAAGGAAGGCCTTCTTTACCAGACTGAAGAAAATGTAAAAGATCTGGACACAAAGTTATTAGCTGCCAGTTCCCTTTTGGCTGATAAAGACCAACAACTTAACACTCTCAGAGAAGAAGTTGACATTCTTACAGATGAAACCATGAACAACAAAAATAAAATTCAAGCCAAAGAGGAAAAGCTTGCCAAATTACTTCTTGAGAAGTCTAATGAGCAACACATTTTTCAAAAAGAAATCCAGGCCCTTAACGTCCGAGTGGAAGACCTTAGTTCATCTCTCAAACAGGCTGAACAGGAAATTAGACTTAAGCAGGAGCTACTGGCTAAAACCCAATATGAAAATGTACAACAAAGGGAGGTACTCCAACAGCAACTTCAAACCTGTGAAGAAGAGGTTAAACAATTAAACGAAGAGATACAAGCAAGAAATGAGCAGCTTGTTATTCTTAAGAATGACAGCTCACAACATGCTGAATCGCTGGAGCAAGAAATCACAGGTATGAAAGGCCAAATCGAAATTCTCAAAGACTCTCTAAGAATGACTGAGGAACAAGTTCAGGCTCAGAAGGTTATGCTTACAAAGCAGGAGCAGCAAAGTGCTCATCAGACAGAGGTCCTGCAGCAACAAGTGTCTGCTTCTGAGGAGAGGGTAAGGAGCATGAAGGAGGAGATCCAAACTAAAGAGGAACACATGAACATATTGGAAAATCAAAGTTCCGAGCAGTCAGAACTACTACATCAAGAGATCTTAACTTTACAGACACAGATTGAAAGTCTTTGTTCCTCGCTGAAGGATGCTGAAGGGAGTTTGCAGTCCAAGGAAAATGTGTTTGCTGAACAACAATTAAAGAGCACTCAGGATATGGAGGCACTCAACTCACGGTTGGCAGCATCTCAAGATCAGATCAAGACTCTAAATGCAGAGATTCATGCTAAGGAGGAGCAATTCACACTGCTAAATAACGAGACATCCGCACAATCTCAATTGCTACAGCAAGAAATTGAAATTCTGTCTAAACAAATAAATACTTTGAGCAATTCTCTTGATATCGCCAAGGACCAGGCTCATGTTAAAGAAGATGTCACTGCCAAACAGCAGCAGCAGAGCTCTTTGCAGATTGAGGCACTTGGAAAGCAAAGAGCCGTTCTTGAGGAGGAGGTCAATTGGCTTAGGGAGGAGACAAAAACTAAAGAAAGCAAGTTGGAACTGTTAAAGGTTGAGAACGGCAAGGAGTCAGAAATGCTGCAGAACGAAATCCAAACTCTTAAGGTCCAAGTCCAAAGGTTGAACGAATCCCTAAAGACTACAGTAGAGCAGGCTCAGGCTAAAGAAAACCTTCTGACTCTGAAAGAAATGGAGATTTCTCAGGAAAATGATACATTTCAAGACATGATGACAAACTCTGCAAAGGAGATACAAGGTCTTTGGGAGCAGATCCAGGCTAAAGAGGAACATATGGTCAAGCTAGAGCAAGACGGCTCCATACAGTCAGACATGCTACAGCAGGAGATCAAATGTCTCAAAACACAACTCTCTGATATGGGTGACTCTCTCACAAAAGCTGAAGAAAAGGTTCAGACTCAGCTAGTCATGCTCACCAAGCAGGAGCAGGAGAGCGCTGATCAGAAGGAGCTTCTGCAGCATCAACTATCGGCTTCTGAGGAAGAGTTGAGGAAGATGAAGGAGGAGATCCAAGCAACCGAGGAACAGATGATACTTCTTAATGCTGATAACTTGGAGCAAACAGACTTGCGACATCAAGAAATCCAAGATCTAAAGGAACATGTTGAGAGTCTTGGTTCCTCGCTGAAGAATGCAGAGGACAATTTGCAGTCCAAGGAAAATCTGTTAGCCGAACAACAACTACAGAACACTCAGAATATGGAGGCACTCGAGGCGCAAATGGTAGCATCTCGAGATGAGGTAAAGATGCTAAATGCAGAGATTCGTGCTAAAGAGGAGCAATTCATTCTTCTAAGTACAGAGACATCTAAACAATCTCAATTGCTACAGCAAGACATTGAAAGTCTAAACAAACAAATAAATACGATGAGCAATTCTCTTGAGAACGCCAAGGACCAGGTTCAATCCAAAGATGAGTTGTTGGCTGAGCAGAAGCAGCAGAGCACTTTGCAGATTGAGACACTTGGAAAGACCAGAGCAGTTCTTGAGGAGGAGGTTAATCAGCTGAGAGAGCAGATTCAAATTAAGGAAGGCCAGGTAGACCTGTTAATGGTTGAAAACGGCAAGGAGTCAGAGGTGCTGCAGAGCGAGATCAAATGTCTTGGGGACCAAGTCCAAAGTTTGAATGAATCCCTGAGGACTACAGTTGAGCAGGTTCAGGCTAAAGAAAACCTTCTGACTCAGAAGGAAATTGAGATTTCTCAGGAGAGAGATAACATCCAAAAATGGAATACGACATCTGAAGAGGAGTTACAAGTACTGAAGGATCAGATCAAGGCAAAAGGGGAACAGCTGGTCACACTGGAAAATGAGGGATCCATACAGTCGGACATGCTACAGCAGGAGATCAAAGATTTAAAAACACAACTTACTGATATGGGTGACTCTCTCACAGAAGCTCAGGAGAAGGTTCAGACTCAGCTAGTCATGCTCACCAAGCAGGAGCAGGAGAGCGCTGATCAGAAGGAGCTTCTGCAGCATCAACTATCGGCTTCTGAGGAAGAGGTGAGGAAGATGAAGGAGGAGATCCAAGCAACCGAGGAACAGATGATACTTCTTAATGCTGATAACTTGGAGCAAACAGACTTGCGACATCAAGAAATCCAAGATCTAAAGAAACATGTTGAGAGTCTTGGTTCCTCGCTGAAGAATGCAGAGGACAATTTGCAGTCCAAGGAAAATCTGTTAGCCGAACAACAACTACAGAACACTCAGAATATGGAGGCACTCGAGGCGCAAATGGTAGCATCTCGAGATGAGGTAAAGACGCTAAATACAGAGATTCGTGCTAAAGAGGAGCAATTCATTCTTCTAAGTACAGAGACATCTAAACAATCTCAATTGCTACAGCAAGACATTGAAAGTCTAAACAAACAAATAAATACGATGAGCAATTCTCTTGAGAACGCCAAGGACCAGGTTCAATCCAAAGATGAGTTGTTGGCTGAGCAGAAGCAGCAGAGCACTTTGCAGATTGAGACACTTGGAAAGACCAGAGCAGTTCTTGAGGAGGAGGTTAATCAGCTGAGAGAGCAGATTCAAATTAAGGAAGGCCAGGTAGACCTGTTAAAGGTTGAAAACGGCAAGGAGTCAGAGGTGCTGCAGAGCGAGATCAAATGTCTTGGGGACCAAGTCCAAAGTTTGAATGAATCCCTGAGGACTACAGTTGAGCAGGTTCAGGCTAAAGAAAACCTTCTGACTCAGAAGGAAATTGAGATTTCTCAGGAGAGAGATAACATCCAAAAATGGAATACGACATCTGAAGAGGAGTTACAAGTACTGAAGGATCAGATCAAGGCAAAAGGGGAACAGCTGGTCACACTGGAAAATGAGGGATCCATACAGTCGGACATGCTACAGCAGGAGATCAAAGATTTAAAAACACAACTTACTGATATGGGTGACTCTCTCACAGAAGCTCAGGAGAAGGTTCAGACTCAGCTAGTCATGCTCACCAAGCAGGAGCAGGAGAGCGCTGATCAGAAGGAGCTTCTGCAGCATCAACTATCGGCTTCTGAGGAAGAGGTGACGAAGATGAAGGAGGAGATCCAAGCAACCGAGGAACAGATGATACTTCTTAATGCTGATAACTTGGAGCAAACAGACTTGCGACATCAAGAAATCCAAGATCTAAAGAAACATGTTGAGAGTCTTGGTTCCTCGCTGAAGAATGCAGAGGACAATTTGCAGTCCAGGGAAAATCTGTTAGCCGAACAACAACTACAGAACACTCAGAATATGGAGGCACTCGAGGCGCAAATGGTAGCATCTCGAGATGAGGTAAATACGCTAAATACAGAGATTCGTGCTAAAGAGGAGCAATTCATTCTTCTAAGTACAGAGACATCTAAACAATCTCAATTGCTACAGCAAGACATTGAAAGTCTAAAACAAACAAATAAATACGATGAGCAATTCTCTTGAGAACGCCAAAGACCAGGTTCAATCCAAAGATGAGTTGTTGGCTGAGCAGAAGCAGCAGAGCACTTTGCAGATTGAGACACTTGGAAAGACCAGAGCAGTTCTTGAGGAGGAGGTTAATCAGCTGAGAGAGCAGATTCAAATTAAGGAAGGCCAGGTAGACCTGTTAAAGGTTGAAAACGGCAAGGAGTCAGAGGTGCTGCAGAGCGAGATCAAATGTCTTAGGGACCAAGTCCAAAGTTTGAATGAATCCCTGAGGACTACAGTTGAGCAGGTTCAGGCTAAAGAAAACCTTCTGACTCAGAAGGAAATTGAGATTTCTCAGGAGAGAGATAACATCCAAAAATTGAATACGACATCTGAAGAGGAGTTACAAGTACTGAAGGATCAGATCAAGGCAAAAGGGGAACAGCTGGTCACACTGGAAAATGAGGGGATCCATACAGTCGGACATGCTACAGCAGGAGATCAAAGATTTAAAAACACAACTTACTGATATGGGTGACTCTCTCACAGAAGCTCAGGAGAAGGTTCAGACTCAGCTAGTCATGCTCACCAAGCAGGAGCAGGAGAGCGCTGATCAGAAGGAGCTTCTGCAGCATCAACTATCGGCTTCTGAGGAAGAGGTGACGAAGATGAAGGAGGAGATCCAAGCAAACCGAGGAACAGATGATACTTCTTAATGCTGATAACTTGGAGCAAACAGACTTGCGACATCAAGAAATCCAAGATCTAAAGAAACATGTTGAGAGTCTTGGTTCCTCGCTGAAGAATGCAGAGGACAATTTGCAGTCCAGGGAAAATCTGTTAGCCGAACAACAACTACAGAACACTCAGAATATGGAGGCACTCGAGGCGCAAATGGTAGCATCTCGAGATGAGGTAAATACGCTAAATACAGAGATTCGTGCTAAAGAGGAGCAATTCATTCTTCTAAGTACAGAGACATCTAAACAATCTCAATTGCTACAGCAAGACATTGAAAGTCTAAACAAACAAATAAATACGATGAGCAATTCTCTTGAGAACGCCAAAGACCAGGTTCAATCCAAAGATGAGTTGTTGGCTGAGCAGAAGCAGCAGAGCACTTTGCAGATTGAGACACTTGGAAAGACCAGAGCAGTTCTTGAGGAGGAGGTTAATCAGCTGAGAGAGCAGATTCAAATTAAGGAAGGCCAGGTAGACCTGTTAAAGGTTGAAAACGGCAAGGAGTCAGAGGTGCTGCAGAGCGAGATCAAATGTCTTAGGGACCAAGTCCAAAGTTTGAATGAATCCCTGAGGACTACAGTTGAGCAGGTTCAGGCTAAAGAAAACCTTCTGACTCAGAAGGAAATTGAGATTTCTCAGGAGAGAGATAACATCCAAAAATTGAATACGACATCTGAAGAGGAGTTACAAGTACTGAAGGATCAGATCAAGGCAAAAGGGGAACAGCTGGTCACACTGGAAAATGAGGGATCCATACAGTCGGACATGCTACAGCAGGAGATCAAAGATTTAAAAACACAACTTACTGATATGGGTGACTCTCTCACAGAAGCTCAGGAGAAGGTTCAGACTCAGCTAGTCATGCTCACCAAGCAGGAGCAGGAGAGCGCTGATCAGAAGGAGCTTCTGCAGCATCAACTATCGGCTTCTGAGGAAGAGGTGACGAAGATGAAGGAGGAGATCCAAGCAACCGAGGAACAGATGATATTTCTAAAAAGTGACGGCTCAGCGCAGTCCGATTCGCTACATCAAGAGATCACAATCCTAAAAATGCAAGTTGAGACTCTTGGCTCCTCGCTGAGGAAGGCTGGGGAAGATGTGCAATCAAAGGAAGATCTGTTGGCTCAAAAAAAGCAAGAAAATATTCAACAGGGGGAGACTCTCCAAAGCCTACAGGAGAAAGTCAAACAAGTGGAGATTCTACAAGAACAGATTTCCTCCCGCGAAGATGAGATTCAAAAATTTAAAGAATCTCAGAGTGAGAAAGAGAGCCATATCCTCAAGGCTGAGGAGAAGCTTCAGATCCTCCAGACAGAGTTGTCTGCATTCAACCAACTCTTGACGGACAAAGACCAACATCTGAACAGTCTTAGAGAGGAGGTCACTGCCCAAGCTCATTTGATTCAAACAACAAAAGAGGAAGCTGAAGCCAAAGAGAAAATGCTGGCCGATATAAAGGAGGAGTGTTCCAACCAGACAGATGACCTTCAACATGAGATACAGGTTCTGAAAGAGAAAGTTGAAACCACATCTCAGAGTCTTCTTGATAAAGAGCAGATGTTACTTGAAGCTCAGCAGGAGTCTTCTGAGCAGATGGGGCTCCTTCAGCAGCAGCTGGCGTCAGTAAATGCAGAGCTGGACCAATGCAAAGACACACAAGCTGTAGAAATCTGCGTGAAAGAGGCTGAACAGGCTGCCACTTTCAGAGAGAAGGAGACTCTGGTTCAGGAAAAAGAAGTACTCATGGCCAGGATACTGCAGACGGAAAACAATCAGAAGGCTCTGGAGAAACAACATGAAGCTGTGGTGTTTGAGAAGGATAGACTCGCTCAAGCCAAGCAGGCCATGGAGAGAGACAACAAGGCCTCTCATAAACTGGAGTCTTTGCTACAGCATGAGATGGAGATATTGAAAAAGGAGATACTCTTGAAAGAGAAGGAAAAAGCAGACGAAATCCAAACACTAAAGAAAGGCCTACAAGAACAGCTGTCGGCTAAATCTGAGGCTGCAGAACACTACAAAGCACAGGTTGGTGTGAAACAAATCCTCCAAGGACATAACACTATTCACTACTTTTATTTCTACCTACCTAATAGGAGTATAACGGTTCACAAACATTTCGGTTCGGTACGTACCTCGGTTTTTTGGTCACGGTTCGGTTCGGTACGTTTTCGGTACAGCAGAATTTTTTTTCACAAAACAAAACATATATATATATATTTTGTATTCTTATTAAACTGTGAATAATGTATTCACTCAAATAAATACAAAATATAATAAAATAAACATTAAGGTGCAGCATTTCGATGAACTGAAATAATCTGTATTTGAACTTTACTGTACTAGTACTCACAAAACATAAACTATTAGTTTTGGGTTTTTAATTATTATTAGGGCCGGGACTCGATTAAAAAAATTAATCTAATTAATTAGAGGCTTTGTAATTAATTAATCGAAATTAATCGCATTTTTAATCACATATAAATATTTGACCTAAGAACAGTGAGAAGCAATTTTTTTCACATGGATTTTAGTATACCATTAGGCGCATTCACACCGCAGTACTTTTCCCACAAAGGTTCATGAGAATTTAGTTCATGAGAACTCTTTGAACTTGGGGGAGGATTAGGCAAATGAAGCCGCTGACGTCACTTCTTCTTCTTCTGCTTTGGGTTTACTGGCAGGCCGCAAACCACTTCACGGCGTATACTGCCGCCCAAAGTCCCCGGCCGGAAGTCCCCGGAGTTGGGGACTGGCTTCAGTAGAAGCTGCTGGGAGTCCCAGCAGCTTCTACTGAAGCCTTCCGAGTAAATCGCCAGAACGCCGACACCTCCTCATCTCCACCGCTCCCATGTTTTATTTAGTGTTGCCATAAGTTAGTCTCTCTGCGTTTCTGCGCTGGGCTAATGCTAATAATGCTAATGCGAGGATAATAAAATGGCGGCTTCACAAAACTTTTTGGGAGTTTTACGGGGCGTGGTTTGCAATCCGCCCAGCCAATCAGAAATATAGCTCTTTTCTCACAAGAGAGCCGTACGAAAGTCCCTGCTCTCTAGCAGCTCTCTGCTCTCTAGCAGGGACTTTCGTGGGGGTAAAAAGGTTCTCATTAACTAATTTTAGTACCGGCTCTTTTTGGTGTGAACGCGATAAAAGAGGCTAACGTCCACGCTAGCTGCTATATGTTTTGCATTGAGGTGATACTTGAGGCTTGATGTGCTGCGGTGATATGCGAATTCCTTTTTGCATAATTTGCACACAACCGTGCTCTTATCGACGCTTCCATCCGTCCGTTTTTTAAAACAACATTTCCCACTGTTGTTCACTGTGGTTTGTTGTTGTCTGAAGTCATGAACGTTAGTTGGTGCTCCAGTATAATCGGTTCGCCTGAAACTCATCCAGTGAGAAACGTTCCGCGGTGCAAAAACAAGTGCGATTAAAATGCGTTAATTTTTGTGTAATTAATTAATCTTAATTAACGCGTTAAAGTCCCGGCCCTAATTATTATTAAACTGAATATTCACTCAAATAAATACAAAATATAATAAAATGAACATTAAGGTGCAGCATTTCGATTAACTGAAATAATCTGTATTTGAACTGTAGGCTACTAGCACCTAAGCAGCCAGTTTGACATTAGGACTTGCTTGTCATTGTATTTTCATGTTTTTTTTAAAGAAAAATGAACTTGTCCACATTGCTTGCCGAAAGGGCAGATCTGCTGGCACTAACAATGTCTCCTGCTGTGGAGAACACCCTCTCTCTAGGAACAGAGGTAGCAGATACAGCCAGGTAGCGCTTTGCTAACATGGCAACATAAGGATATTTGGCATTTGTAATAGCTTTGGCTCGGTCTGAACTTTCTGCGAGTGGTGGAGGCTTAAATGCTAGTGGGAGTTGGGTTTGCACTTCAGTCTTTTTTCTTTTGGTACCGGTAATATTCACGTTCGGGTGATGCCTTTTTCAAGAGTGTGCAAGTTTGATGTATTGCCAGCCACGTAACCAATTTTAGTTGAACAATGCCGACAAACAGCTTTGGTTCGGTCCACCTGTCTTTGTCCGTCATCTTTGTACGTAACTGCTAAACCAAAATGTTCCCAAACCGGAGACTTCAATGATGCTGGAGGATTTTCGAGCTCAACTTTATCTGCGTTCGCCATTAATTTTCGACAGTTCCTCAAATTACTGACTACATATGAACGCATCCCTCTGACCAGCTCTTATAGTATGCCTCTCATCCAATGAATTGACTTGCTCGCTCTATGACGCGTTGAACCCAATGTGAGCAAATTACTCTGAATGCTGCGACGCAGCACCTGAGATTACTTCCAAAAAGTTATTCACGTTCTCAATTTTTTACGTTTAACGTTATATTCGTTCGGTACACACCTGTACCGAACCGAAGGGCCCGTACCGAATAATTTCGGTACGTGTACCGTTACACCCCTACTACCTAATAAGCTTGTTAAGAGTCCAACATTATCAATTTAGATTAATCTACAGTTTCATGTGCAAAGTGAGTTACTGTTTGGTGTGATTCATTCTAACATTTGTTTTATTATCACAATGCCACAGATGGAGAAGGCCATGAGCCATTACAATGGCAAAAAGCAGCTTCTCCAGGAAAGCCAAGAGGAGGCGATTGAACTCAAGCAATCCTTGGAGGTGAAAGAGTGTGAAATAAATGCTTCTACCATGGAAAGCAAGCTGCTTCAACTTGATTTGGATAAGGCCCAAACCAACGAGAAAGCACTTTTGAACAGGGTGGCCAGTTTAGAGGCACAGGTTGGTATTTTGACTCATGGGGAGAATGAAAAACTATCTATTTAAATAATAAAAAAAGAAATGTTTTGCTGCTGACCTTCATCACTATATATATTGTACCATTTAGCTGGCGTTTGCTGACCGTAACCTGCGTGCACAGAACAAGTTTCATGGTAATGAAGGAAGCTCGCAGATGTCCCTTTACATGGAGGTTGCCGATGCACACTCGAGTGTAAACACTAAAGCAAAGGAGAAGAAAGCCATAAGCTCTGACAGCCTGGACCACAGCTCCCTGGAAGACTCTCTAAACAATACAAGGTAAAACACTTCAGATACGTAGCATGAAATCTTTTTGGGCTACATCTATCAAAACATGTGCAACTGTTCGATAAAGTGATTCGGGAAAAAAAAGAATATATGTGCTTTGTTCCAAATGGTTTCTGATTATTTCTTTGGTCATATTTGGTTAAAGTTGATCAAAGGAAATAAGATTTACTTTAAAAACTTTTAGTAATACATTTAATTAAGATAATCAATTTTAGCCAACCAACTCCTGCTTTTCACCTGTTACATAGAGTACATAACATTGAATTGACATTGTTCACCGATAAATTAGTTCCCATTATTTTAATGACATGTCTGATTCAAGTAAGAAGATATAAGGCTTGAGAGAAACGCATGAAATCTAACATTAATGGCATTGTGGAGTTTATTTTAATTTTACTCTCACACACTACTCTTGTTCTTCCCTTTGCAGAAAACTTTTAGTGCCTGATGAATCAAGCACACCGCTCGTTCGCAGTTCAGAGCGCTTGGCAGCCAAACACAGAGGTCTACAGGCGGAGTCTCTGGAGACCCTGTACTTTACACCTATAAACAGCAGACAGATCAACAGGTACTATAGACACTTGAGACAACTGTGGTATTTCACAGAACAGCCACCTTTTTAGGAGGCATATATTCTCATTTAGTGAATGAAAGTGGTGGGGGTTTTATAGTTCTCTAAATGCTTTTTTCAGTATAGTGTAGTAAATGTAGATGTTGAACCATTTATTCCAGTAATTTTTGGGAAGTATTTTTTTTCAAATTATTCTTAAGGTTCCCTTCCCTATATACATACTTTTCTGAAGTGAAACCAATATCACTGCTCTTACTACATAAGATTCTTGTTTTCTTTTTCGCCTAGGATCAATGCAGAGCACACACACGAGGTGGATTCAACAAGGAAAAATCCAACTTCCTCTGTGAAGCGACGAAGGACCACACAGGTTATTAACATCACCCTGACCAAGGTGGAGGAAACTCACTTGCACACTCATTGCATGTTTTGCATGTTCACAATAAGGCACACTGTGAATAAACTACATTTATATAGTCCCTTAACAGTTATATAATCACAATGGCTTCTTTATCACTATTCCTCAAATATATGAATTACAAGGACATTTAGCTTATTTTGTTTTCTTAAGGTGTAGCTGGTTCTTTCACTCTCATTGTTCAATAATACTATTATATTATGATGTATCTTTAGCATTACTGTGCTTGTTTTGACCATAATATGACAATTTGCAACTAAAGGGCTGTGTTTGCTCTTCAGGTTGTTGGGAGCACTGCTGTCTGTGTAAAAATGCAGCAGTGTTCACTTGCATTCAAACGGCTGAACCAAAATGTTCTAACTTGCCCTCTTGAAATTCCTAACCCTTAAACCTGTAGAAAACCCCAGGCGGCGGTGAGCATGATGACACTTTCTACAGTCTGGCTTCGGCTCGCTCCCATCCAAACCTCTCCAGTGCCCACTCTGAACCCCCCGTATGTATGGAGCTGTTCGACACACCTGCCAGATTGACCGGCGCTGCCAGCGACCAGCTCATCGGTCTTCCAGGCTACAGGCGGAGCACCATGCATTCACAGCGTAAGTTGACACCTGGCTAACTCACAGGAGCTTGTACTTAAGCAGAAATTAAGAAAGAGGTCTGTCTGGTAAATGCATAGCTGGGACCAACAAAACTGCTTGTGGATAAAATGGGCCCCAAATGAACTATTCAGATTATTCTGCCAACTATTTTCACAAATTATCTTTTATGTTTTAATCATAGAATATCAAAAACCGTAAAAAAGTGGTAATCCCATTGTTTTAGAGTGCAAAGTAACAACATCCAATATATTTTTCTGTCCGCCATACAGTCTAAATCCCCCAAATCCATACTTTATTATAATCTAAGACCAAGAAAAACTGGCAAGCTTTAATATTTAATAACTACATCATTGTAACAGTTTTTTATAGTTTAGTAATTTGGAGACAAGACCCCATTTGAAAGTTTAAAATAGGCGTGCCTTTGTATCTCCGTCAATTTTTTCAATGGTGGGTATAAAAAATATGTTTTTTCTACATCTGTTCCCTCTTCAGCTGCCAGTACATTCTGTGCGGGGGCGGAGAACGAGCCTGACGGTGGACCTGATGATTGGATGAGGATTGCCGAGCTCCAGGCCAGGAACATGGCCGTCCTTCCTCATCTGAAGAGCAGCTACCCCGTGGAGTCTGACGTTAGGAGAAGATGACACTCCATGCACTGAACACCATAGACATACTGTTGCTGGGGAAAAATATTGAGATATAATGCACAGGGAATTATTGTGGCAATAAATCAGCAAAACAAACAAACATTATGATGATGTTGGCTTAAAACTATATTATACACTTGGTCTGGTCGTGTACTACCCACCATCCCAATAAATATTTATAGAGGTTGAGCAGTGCTTGTTTTTTAAAGACACATTTTGAGAAAAAGATTATACGTTTGGCATATTGTTATGTCAGTGCTCATTAACATTTACTGCCCATGAAAGAACCACAAAAACACATTGACGTGAATTCAAAAATGTGAAAGATAAACAATTGTATTTTAGAAACAGTAACTAACTAAATCAACAAGAGAAAAAGATTCTGCAAAACAATAATAGAATTAATGTTTTTATCGAATCAAAATGTCAAATGAAATACACAGAAAAGGTACACATCTCAGGTCTTCCTTAGCTTCCCTTCCCTAATAAATGGTACCAAACAAGGTTACATGTTTTGTTTATTTCTATGCCCTTAATCCTTTTCTATCAGTTTGATAAATCCCTCTCTCTCTGTTCTCTCAGCCATGCCGTGGCGCGACATTCCTCTTCACAGACGAAGAGCTCCGTACGGGCGACCCGTCTGACACCATCCGCCGGGTGTCCACCATGCCGGGCCAGCTGAAAGATTCTCTCGCCTCCCATCGGCACTCTCTCATGGTGGGACACTCGGCTGCCGCTGCCAATACTCGTTCTCACCGTCTGTCCTTGATGCCCGAGCTGCCATCAAAAACCGTCAGCTCCTCTCAGCTGAGAAGCCCGAAAGGCACCAAGCGTTCTTCATCTACGCTGTCCGTACACCAAACTTCGCCCGAGGTTGGTTTGCGTCCTGCAGGACATAAGTATTCGTTACATTTTGTGTTGCTTAATGTGAGAGCCTGATTGAAGTGCAAATGATGAATGTTTCATAGGCCATCTTTAATGTTTTACTGAGGTTTCCTTACATTAAAAGGTTATTCATAATGTAATTAGTATTGGAAAATGTACCTTTTCCCTATGCTATCTCTGACAATTAACTGTAAAGTATCTTATGATATTACATGTCTTTGCCAATTGCCTGAACATCACATTTGCCTATTGGCATATGAACATACATTTTGAGTATTATTCTCAAAGAATAGTTGTCAGGCTTTTGTGTTGTTTGCTTATTTAATTTGTTATCTGAAAGCTTACTCTTACCATAAAGTTACTCTTAAATGTAACTTTCTGAAATCCTCTTTGTCTTTCCACGTTTCCACCTGACAGAAAAAGGTGAGGGCCAGCTGTTTCCCCCGACCACTCACTCCCAAAGCCAAGAACGTGATGAGTGAGCCTTTCAACTCTCGGATTCGAACCGCCCTCAGTCCAGTGAGTGAAATATTTCACACACAGAATATATTGCTTATATGTCGTTTTAGGGAGCAAAATAATACATACGATGTTTTGCATGTTTTTCTAACAGTTACCCTTGTATTATTCTCTAGGTTGATCGGAGGCAGTCAACGATGTTCAGTATTGACAACACCCCTCAAAAAAACAACTTTCTTACGAAAAACATAAAGAAACTACGCAGCTCCACTCGGAAATCCCCAGGAAAAACTTCAAAGAAGTCGCCTGCTCAGAAGTCTGTGCGTAAATGCCAGGAAAATAACCCTGCGGCAGATTCCCGTGCTGGAGTGGCACGGACAGGACAAACTGGCAGCTCTAAATCCCCTCAGGTTGCCACTAAAGGACAGAAAGCCACCAGCAGGTCTGCAAAGTCTCCTGGTCTAGCTAGTGCTCGCAAGGTAAACGCTCACACAGATAAATCCATTCAGGGTTTTACAGGGCACACATTATTATTATTTTCTCTCTGCACTTTATTACCCCGTGCCAGCAGGCCTCTTGTGGTAGCTTGTGTAGCCCAAATGGAGTGTAAATGGAGTGCAGGCTGCATATGAGGCTGCAGGCATGACAAAGAATCATCATCTGCTGATAATCAAACAGCAGCACGTAGTGGAGATGCTGATGTAAACCTTTGATTCGATTTCTGTCCCTAGTTTGAGTGTTATTTATTTTGTCCTTATTGACTACGAGAGATGGATTATGTTTGAACTCTCTAATCAGGGATCTGATTGATCTGACAATAACGCAACACTTCATGATCATTAACATTTAAGTAACCGTTTTCAGAAGCGTGGGTCTGTAAATGATGACAACCTTCGTGGAAGTGTTAAAAGGTCAATAAAAGTAATTGTATTTTGTGGAATAAGGGTTTGTTGACTTACACTGGCTGATTGGGTTTTTACTTTTGCCATAATAAGACACGGTGTGTTCATTTCATATATAAACTTTATGGGTTTTCACATGCATCTGTCACAAAAACACACTTGGCTTTAGCTTTCAATAAATGAACATATTGTATAAAAACATGCTTCACTGTGATCTCTGGTTTAATCACATGTTTTGTATCCCACAGATGATGAGCAGGATGAAGGTTTGAGGACTGGTTCCCAGTGATGATCGTCTACGGTTCTTCTTAAATCATATATTTTTTTTCCTGCAATCTGCAATTCCTGCAATATAATGTTGTCCTTCAGCAATTTTTTTTAATCTTTTCTTAAATTTCTTTTAATTTAATCTGTATTATATTTACATGTTTTTCAATAAAAGTTATAAATGACACTATAAAAAAGCCTGCTATTTGATCCACTTACCTCAGAGTCGTGTCTGGTGCAGCTTCGTCTAGAAATGTTCTGATAAACTTAAACCTTGTCACTTTAGGATGCATTTTCCAGAAATTGCAATTGCAGTTGAAAGGATGGACAGCACTTTCTCATTTCTACTGTGAGGCACTATCCCAAAACTAGCTCTGTAAATAAAAATGAATAATATTAATTTCTTCAAAATGTGTTTTAAATAGGGTGAATATTGACAATTTGCTCCAATAATATTTTAATTAAGGTGGCTCGTTCTCTAAGATCCTCAATTTGTTTTTCATCCTGTTGTCCATTTGTTAGAATGCGCTACCTTATTTAAGCATAATAGCACATAGGAAGTTAATGTTTGTATAAATAAATGTCTTACTTAGATATGATTGAGCAGCTTTAATTGTCTGAACACACACTAAAACAAATTGTGGAGAAATCATGTTAACTCAGTTTCCTTGTTTGAAGGGGACTATTCTACTCTTTGATCATGATAACTGGGAAAATGCAGCAACAGAAGTATGAAGATCCCAAGATATTTTTGTAATTGTGATCCGAAAATGATTTGTTCCACTAAAATACACAATTGTGCTGATTAATACACGTTATTATTTATAAAGTGGAGGTTTCCAAGAACATGTCAGTTCAAATGAATCCATAATGTATACTGTTACAGTCCAGTCCACTGTAGTGCCCTTTCAGCATATGAACCATGACCCTGCGGCTCTGCATATGACTATTACCAAACTGTTACACTTCCGGTATATGCCTCAAAACCCTTCAGAATAAAAGCAAAACATTTTTTGTTTTTCTATTATTTTAGTACCGGTGTTTCCACTTAAACATCCTACCAAATATATGTTTTCTACCGGAGGTAGTATTCTTGCATATCAAAACATTTGATGATTTGTAAGTAAAGTATATGTAAGGAGGAGTTTGGATGTGCGTTTTGTCGATAGCATGCTTTTATTCTGAAGTGCATCAGAAGTCGTCATCTTGATGCTGGCGGAACTTAAACCGAAAGTTATAACTGACACAACGAAGAGGAAATAAGTTAAAATAAACCACTGGGGAAATTATCTTACACTGTAGAGTTTATTATGTTTACCTCGATTATCTGCTGCTAAACGCTAATCTCTAACGGATCTCTTACTCGTGAAACCGTCATGTTATCTTGAGTATCAATGTTTTCAATAGGAAGGGTGGAGGGCCTTCATCTTGCCACGGAGGAAATTACATTTCATGTGAAGTTATTGCGAAAAGGAGGATTTAGTTGATATCAATTAATTGTACAGCTGCAGTTTATGAGTCTTCTATGACCAGGAACATGGACCCGGACACTGAAGTTGAAAGGTGGGTGTTGTCTTACACTTTTTGACATGAAGGATAGTTCACCTGCCATCTTTAATCCTCTGTCACTTCATGACATTTCACACACACTATGTTTCGTCAAATGCTACATTTCCCGCCTTGTGGGTTGTTTTACTTGTTTTTAATATACCCGTACAACTGTATTACACTAGGAGTTAATTCACTGCTAACGTTGGTATAGGTGAGAGTCAATACTGCTTTTCTACACCCACACACGAGTTACTTCAACTGTCATTTATTAATGGAACTCCATTTTCGCCACTGATGAGGAAAAAGCATCCTGTAAGTCAGTATAATGAGAAACTTGTTATAATAACATTCTTTTCATAATGACTACTAAATGCTTCATCATTTTGAGAGTCAAGCTAAAGCTCCGCTATTTTGATAGATACAATCTATTTTCAAGAAAGTCTGTCATAAGGAGTCAAATAAACACATGGCCTAAATGTCATTCCACCCTTGTGGGCCAGATATTTTACGTCTTGTTAAATTACTCTGCCAGTCTTTGTTCACCTACGACTTATAAACAGTATTCTTGGACATATATCTGTAACATTTGGTCCATTACTAAATGATCTATTTATCTTAAACTTTAAAGCAATGTCACACCCAGTGGTGGTATGCTAACACAATGTTTCTATCCCTTTAGCATTTTCAGGCATGAGAATGGGGAAGAGGAAAAGAAGAAGTGGACGAGGCCACCCTCCAGCTATGGTTCCATGAAGAGTGACAGTGATCACACGATGGAGGACGTAGAGGAGGGAAAAGAGGAAGGGGTTGCTGTTACCGTCCATCCTCCATTACCTGTGGTGCAACCTGACGTGCTTATTAATGATGGGACAAGGTACTGAGTCTTTTTATAGAATTTGAGGATTATTTCAAGGTTTTGGCCATTTAACCACAGGTGGCAAAAGGCTTCACATTACTGCATACTTTACTTTTTTTGTTTAACTACCTCTAATTTCGTGTTGGGACTCACACCAAAGTTTACATTAATGTATTTTAGTCCTTTCTGAGCTCTAGTTGGCGGTGAGAACGTTTTCAAAAATGACTATGCACAAGTCTGTTTTCCTAACTCATACACCTAAGTAGACATTTTAGTATATTATGCAAGTCAATATGCAGGGCCTTGAATATGAATAGGTGGGGTTTCTTTTATTAGCCTTTCTGAACAGCTGGAACATCATACCGGGAGTTTCTGTACATATTCAACTTTACATGATTATCTGCTACTTTGACTAAACAGTGAAATGTTAACACCCAGCATATATTATACCCAATATAAATAACTATGTACACTTGCCCATGAGAAATGGTTTTGTAGAGTTGTACAGCTGATGCATACAAATGTGAGTCTGTTCATAATCAGCGTTCATCAGGTCTCCCTGCTGGGGAATACAGTGTCACATCAGGCAGATCAGGAACAGCAGCGTACTGTACTGATGTTTATGGAACTTTAGCCAACATGTCAACGGAAGGATCAACTTTTGAATGCCAAAATTGTACTTTTCTTTTTTGATGTAAAAGCAGAGATTTTGCTCTTTGTTGCTCCAAAAAGTCAACTTGTAATTATTGAAGGGAGGTATTAATTTCAGTGACTAAATAGTTACTAGTCACAGGTTAACCAGATTGGTGTCCCACATTTTTTGTCCAGGATGCAAATGATTCGCCCAGACTCTCCAGAGACCTACTACACCATGAACACTCAGCACACCAAACAAGCAGGAGGTCTTGTCATTGACACAAGGTGAAGGACACACACACACACACACACACACACACACACACACACACACACACACACACACACACACACACACACACACACACACACACACACACACACACACACACACACACACACACACACACACACACACACACACACACACACCACACACACACACACACACACACACACACAACACACACCACACACACACATACACATACACAACCCACACACACACACACACTCTCTCTCTCTCTCTCTCTCTCTCTCTCTCTCACACACACACACACTTTTTGATGCAGATACATTTCAAAATGATATTTATTATCTGTTAAAAATCATTGGAAATCGATTCCTTGCTACCAACGTCGCCTCTGGACGTAATTTAACATTTAATGAGTTGTATCATCACATTAGTTTATATTTGAAAACATTTAAATTAGTTGTAAACTTATGTTTTGAATATTTTAAAACATTCAATATCCAAACATAGGTGTTGCAAAATGTGTAGTTTTTTTCTACAAGGGCCAAAATGCAGCTAAACATCATGATGATTCATGTAGAATATGATCTCTTTCTCACCTTCTTACCTTTCTTACTGTTGTGGTTTAAAGGCCAAAGATTCATTAGGGAAGTCTTAAAACAGGTTTACATATCCTAATTCTGGGAATTGAAAAGAAAAGTGTGAAGGTAAACTTCTGTTGTTGCAATGTTGAGGTAGAATGAAGGAGTCTGGAACTGTTGTTAGCCAAAAGCACTGAGAGTTTTATTGGAGAAAGTACAGACAATACGGCCGGGAGATCATCTTAGTTTCACACATGTCCAGTGCTCCACCAGCGATCTCTGAACCAAAAGCCACAAAACATCTAACCAACACGAGGAGAGGCCGGCCCATAGAAAGCCCGCGTTTACCTAATCAATAACCGATGGGAGACAATGGTCTGCTTGTCTCAAAGAGATGCTGCCAGGTCAACCCTCCCCCACGGACATAGGAGAAGCGTTTGACCTGTGACCTCAACCTACAGAGGAGTCTCTGACTGACTACAAGCAGATGATTGCAGTATCACAGACTCTAAGGAACCATAAGAGACTCTATAAACAGATCAGATGAAAATATTCTCTTACAAAAAGTGGTTTAAAGGTCAAAGATGGGTTCGGGTAACAGTAAAACAGGGGAAATGTGTTGTCTGGGGATGCAAAATGGATGAAAGAGAAGGATGAGAGAAATATCAAAATGTTAGAAAAGTGTCAAAATAACTATAATTTCACAGGAAGACTAGGGGTAGAGGAATGTGAGAATTTGGTTAGTGATATTGCCAAATATCTGGAACAAACTACCAGAAACCTGCAGGTCCGCTGCAACACTTACTACTTTTAAATCCAGGCTGAAAACTTTTCTTTTTGCCGCTGCTTTTAATTGAACTATTCACATCTTACACTGCACTGTAACTTTGATTCATGTACCTGTGTTATTCATGTTTTATTATCTTTGCTTTTTAATGTTTCTAATGTGTTTTATGCTCTTAATGTCTTTCATTTTTGAAAAGCACTTTGAATTGCCTTGTGTTGAAAAGTGCCATATAAATAAACTTGCCTTGCCTTGTTGTCTATCAGGTCTTCTGATCTGGGGGATGTTCCAGAAAATGACTTGGAGGATGCAGATGAACCTTTGTTGGCTGATTCGCCAGAACCACCTATGCCGGTTGAACCAGAAGAAACAACTAGTGAGAATAGCCAGCCAGGCACACTACACCCAGAGCAGGACCTGCCCCATATCTTCAAGGTGAGCCCATCATAGCTGAGTTGCCTCATCTTTTTAAAATAGGATAAGACAAACATTTATTAATGCATGTGGGGAAATTCAGGTGTCACAGCAGCACCTAGACTTAGAGTGAAACACAGGATAAGATAGGTTCTCACGTATAATAAGAGTAAAACATGTAAATGACAGTTAAATAAATATCACAACAATAGGATTAAATAAAAGAAGTACATTTACAGATATGAAAAAAAAAAATTAAGAATATATGTCGTTCATCATGGATAATATGGGGGGGGGGGCGTTCCTACAGTATTTGTCTAAATAACTTTTACTATTCATGTTTATAACATTATAAACAAACAAAAAAAGTTAGCTAATTCTGTATGGTTTGGGTAATTGTATAAAAAACAAGCTTGTTGATATATCATAAAAATGTAATGGTTGCACCCCCTTAATATGGCCAACGAGACGCCTACTGTACATACATGTAATATCTGAGACAAAATGTTAACTTGTGTTTTTGTTCTACCTTCTCTCTGTCTGCAGAGTATCCAGAATGTTTTGACATCCCTCCCTTTTAAAGACCTCTTAACATTTAAGACGTGGTTTTACCAGTGGGAACGAGACCTTACCCAGAAACAAGCGATGGAGGGAGACCTTCTTGATTTTGTGGACATGATCCTGGAGAAACTCGGTATCTAAACACATCTATTGGACATTAATTGTGAATGGTACTGTACAAATGGAGCTTAAAATGGAGAGGGACACATTTTGACTGTTGGTAGCAGCTTTAGACTAAACACTTTGTGACCTTTATTGTTAAGGAAAAATAGAATTTAGCTTTAAGACTTGAATAGTTATCGTTTCATTTACAGTCAAATGCATTGTTAAGGAATAATTGACGAACCTTATGGAGAGGACAGGGTCTTATAGTGGTTGCTTACCAGTTTTCTTTTTGATTCAATTCTGTTTTGCAGGACAGGATCGTTCCCTGTCGCATACAATACAAACCCTGAACAGCATCGGCAAGATAGAAGAGGCAGACACACTACGTATTATGTGTAAAAGAGGCAAGTATGACTTTTGATGGAGGATTAAAGGCTTATAGGCACCAGTTTCAAGAGAACAGTACAAATGTAAATAATCTGATTGGCTTATCAGGACGTCCTGCAGCAAATCAGACACAAGCATTTGATCCTTTATGTTGTTCCATTGAAACAATATGCAACATTTTCAAAATGAATGTGCTGGTTACATTGTAAAAGCCTAAAATGTGTAACCACCTCTGTTTAAAATGCAGCTTTTTGACAAGCTCACATTTAAATAGAACAACAAGCTATTTTGTAATTTCCACCATCTGAAGACCACAGGATTTTGACTGTAACACACAATGCTGAAGTACTATCTTCAGGGTTCGTACGGGTGCTTGAAATCCTTGAAAATGCTTGAAATTTGACGTGGTGTTTTCAAGGTTGGGAAAGTGCTTGAATTTTGGGAATGGTGCTTGAAATTGAGATAAAGTGCTTGAAAATGTAAATGCTTTACTTTTACAATAAATTGCTGTCTGACTGAATAGTTCGCTTTTTAGATTAAAATAAAAGAATTGCTTCGCTTCTACATAAAACATCTCCGCTGCACCTTCCCGCGCTATGCGCGCGACCTGCAAGGGTTTGTGTTACGTGTGACCTGGGCATTCTGATGAGAGAGAGATGACTGTGTGCCAGGAGGTTGCCGTTTCAACGAGCGTTGGCTAGCAGAAGACAAATACAAGCCATGGCTAAGACGAGGGTCAAGCCCACGAGTAGCGTCCTGCAAAGTTTGCAAAAATAACGATGCGAGAGTCTGCGCTGACGAGCCACATGAAAGGTACGCCGTAGTAGAGCATTTTAGATTAGGCTAACGTTGCATGTTACGTTTGTTTAAGCTAACGTTAGCGAGCTGAATAGCGAACTCGATTGAGAGATAATATTAATTGCAGGGGACAATCATTTCAGAGGAGCGTACCTATGTTATGTGCGTTACAGTCGCCATCGTGTGGTCTTCAGAGGATGAAGCACTCACGGCATTTCGTGTTATAGTCACGAAATATAATCTATTGATTCGACACAGAGCGATTTTGAAAGCAATGTATTTCTACTGGTAGTATGTTTCGTGCCTAAACCAAATGTGACTTGCTCTATCGAAATCAGTCACATTGACCCGAAGACACATTTTCGTTTGTATTACTGGTCTGGGGGAAGCTCGCGAGTGTGTTTGTGTATTTTGCGTTTGTTTCCCGGGGAAACACTCACAAGAAACACCAGCTGTTGTTATGCCTGCTGTGACGTTAAGTTACTCAGTTCTCCGCTTGTAATTATGCCGAAGCTTCAAAGTTGTATTTATCATCTGAATTTGCCGAAACAAGTTTAATATTCTGAAAGCCAAGAATTGTTTATTTGAAAACAGATGAAAACAAACTGTCTTTATATAAAATTGAAGTATTATACAAGTAAAACTACATGTTCAGGGGTGCACATAACTTTTTTGCCCTGGTTCTCAAAGGAGCACCTGGAGATGTTGCTTGGTGCTCATCCTTAAAATGAAATAAACCGTAACTTTTGAGGGGGTCTTGACTTTATTTGCCAGACACACGGCACTGAACACACATGCAGAGGTGAACACAGAACACACATAAAGAGGTGAACACAAGACAACATTAGCACGACCAGTAATCCTACAAGCTGTCATCACTACCCTCCTGACTGTTCTCCTCACTGTCTTCCTCTCTGTCAGACATGGTAGCTGATGATGTAGGCCTACTACTTTCTCTCTGGTTGAGTCTGTGATTAGCTGCTCGCATCCACAAGTCAACAGCTGGTTTTGGGTCGAAAGTCTCTGTTGTCATCTTAGACAAGTGGATGTAATCAAATAAGTATGTGAACATAACCAATAACCTACCATAGCCAATAACAAATTAATGTAACTTATTTTATTTGTGTTGTTCATTCATATCTTATTTTACCTTAACATTTATTTATGCATTTTTTTTTTATCTCCAGTTTTAAAGGATATTTTTGGTTACTGTCCTATAGTATACATTGGAATGATTTCAAACCTGTTTATCCCAATAATTATAAAGGAGTGCCTTGGAAATATGTGTTTACATAAATTGTGACCAAACCGTTTGAATTTAGACTAAGAGTCCTTTACCTCACTGAGCTGTAGTTAACTTATCAGCCTCTCAGTCTGACTGGAGAGGACTCTCCCTCCACATTATTGTAGAAACATCTTCTTCTTATCTCCGTTAGAGCAGCTAGCACGGCACCAGATTATAATAACAACAGCGCTGGTACCACCCTCCCTCTCTCCCTCGCTCACTCGCATTTTGTCTGTGAGCTGCGGGCGCCAGATAAGCCAACATCCCCCATTTTCATCACTTACAGCGCCCATCGTACAGGGCAAATGAAAGGTGTACATTTACTTAATTATGAATATTGTTACATCAAGGCAGAAAATTAGGATGAGCCCCAACGGTCAAAATGTTTTTTTCCCTCCCAGAACTGCCAGCGCAGCACCTCCCCAGATCTGGCGCCCCAGGCGAACATCTAGCCAGTGCTACGGGTCGGCCCTGAGTTCATATCATGGTTCATATGCAACTCGCAAATATCTTTCTCTCTCTCTCTCTTCTCTCTCTCTCATCTCTCCTCTCTCCTCTCTTTTCTCTTCTCTCTCTCCCTCTCAATGTTGGTACGCAAATGCGCTTTGTTTCAAATGACCCGGTGCTCTTTTTTTGGCGGAGGTGCGCATGCGCACCTGCGCACCAGTTATGTGCAGCCCTGTACATGTTGCTTTAATCCCATGTAATTGTAGAATGAACACAGTCTTCCTTTGAAGATGTATAAGTCAGGTGTCTTGAGTAGTCACAATTGCCTACAAATCATTGTACACATTTGTAAATATTATTTTCCACTTGTTACCATTGTGAGTCTATTTCTATGCAGCTCTGCGTGATTTTGTGGCTACAATTCAGACTAATACACTACCAGAGGTGGAATAAGTACTCAGGTATTGTACTTGAGTAAAAGTATAAGTACTCAGATCTTGTAGTGAAATTATAAGTACTCAGATCTTGTACTTAGCAAAAGTAGAAGTACCAGAGTGTAGTCACAGTAAAAGTCCTGCATTCAAAATATTCCTCAAGTAGAAGTAGAAAAGTATTCTCATCCAAATATAGTTAAAGTAGCGACAGTAAAAGTAGTCATTGTGCAGATTGGTCCATTTCATAATATGATATGTTTTATAATGATTGATCATGAAAGTGTTCTCAGAGCTGGTGAAGGTGCAGCTAGTTTGAATGACTTTGTATACTGCAGGGTAGCTTGTGGATTCACTCCAGGTGGAACTAAAGTCTGATTCAACACTTGATTAGATTTCACATCATTCATCCTGATCTGTAAAGTAACTAAAGGTATTAAATACATGTAGTGGAGTAGAAGTACACCATGTACCTCTGAACTGTAGAGGAGTAGAAGTACACCATGTACCTCTGAACTGTAGTGGAGTAGAAGTACACCATGTACCTCTGAACTGTAGTGGAGTAGAAGTACACCATGTACCTCTGAACTGTTGTGGAGTAGAAGTACACCATGTACCTCTGAACTGTAGTGGAGTAGAAGTACACCATGTACCTCTGAACTGTTGTGGAGTAGAAGTACACCATGTACCTCTGAACTGTTGTGGAGTAGAAGTACACCATGTACCTCTGAACTGTAGTGGAGTAGAAGTACACCATGTACCTCTGAACTGTTGTGGAGTAGAAGTACACCATGTACCTCTGAACTGTAGTGGAGTAGAAGTACACCATGTACCTCTGAACTGTAGTGGAGTAGAAGTACACCATGTACCTCTGAACTGTAGTGGAGTAGAAGTACACCATGTACCTCTGAACTGTAGTGGAGTAGAAGTACACCATGTACCTCTGAACTGTAGTGGAGTAGAAGTACACCATGTACCTCTGAACTGTAGTGGAGTAGAAGTACACCATGTACCTCTGAACTGTAGTGGAGTAGAAGTACACCATGTACCTCTGAACTGTAGTGGAGTAGAAGTACACCATGTACCTCTGAACTGTAGTGGAGTAGAAGTACACCATGTACCTCTGACTGTTGTGGAGTAGAAGTACACCATGTACCTCTGAACTGTAGTGGAGTAGAACTACACCATGTACCTCTGAACTGTTGTGGAGTAGAAGTACACCATGTACCTCTGAACTGTAGTGGAATAGAAGTACACCATGTACCTCTGAACTGTAGTGGAGTAGAAGTACACCATGTACCTCTGAACTGTAGAGGAGTAGAAGTACACCATGTACCTCTGAACTGTAGAGGAGTAGAAGTACACCATGTACCTCTGAACTGTAGTGGAATAGAAGTACACCATGTACCTCTGAACTGTAGAGGAGTAGAAGTACACCATGTACCTCTGAACTGTAGTGGAGTAGAAGTACACCATGTACCTCTGACTTGACTTGACTGCCAACCTAAAAGTACCTCAAAAATAGTAATCAATAATGTATTGAAAAGTGATTTGGCTGATTGTTTTATATCGGCTCAGACGGTTATACGGGACATACAGATGGGTCACTCATTTTGAAATATTAAACTTAGTTTTCTTTTCTTTAATGTTTCATCCTCGTGTAGAAGGCTATCACGAAACACACATTTGGTTGTTTATAGCATAAAGAACATCTGATTTAATGTGAGGTAGGGAAATAATCATTTGAGTATGTGTATATAAATATGTAATTTACAACAGCTGTAAGATGCTTGAAAAGCTGGAAAATGCACCTTGAAAATGCTTGAAAAGTGCTTGAATTTGACTTTGGAAAAGGTGTAAGAACCCTGTATCTTTCTCAAATGTGATATGTGTTATCACCACTTACACCTTCCAAACCAAACGTAGTTTTCTTACTTTCCACTTTGTCTTTCTGCACTGACAGCGCTGGTCCGTTTTCAACTGCAGCAGGAATTGTCCAGAAAATACAAATATATCCACGAGGGGGTTGTTCAAGCTGGAAAGCAGACTTTATTCGAATGCATCTACGTAGAGCCCCAGATTTCCACCTGTGGTTATGGAGGAGTTGACCCCTCCCATGAATTCCGACCCCATCCACCAACCAATCTCAAGGTCCCCAGTCCCCACACCTTCGTCGGGCTGAACGATCTGTTGCGACTACAAAAGGAAGATGGTCAACCAGCGAGGACCGTGGTCACCACTGGCTTTGCAGGCATGGGCATGTCTGTGTCTAAGGCGAAATTCTGCCTGAATTGGGCAGAAATGCGTGCAAATAAGGTAAATCAACAAAAACAAGTTCGTTTTTTTGACCTATTTGTTGTGACTAACAACATTTTTTTTGTCCATGTTTGCTCAGGATCTGCAGTTCGTTTTCAAGCTTTCTTTCCGGAATTTCTGGACCCTGCGACAAAATGAAAGTCATATCGCAAAGACGATGTCCATCATGGATGTGTTGGAATATTATTATCCTGAGAGCAAAGACATGAAATACCTGGAGGACGAGGACTGTAAATTTGTCGTCGTAATGGACTCACTTGATTGTTACCGAGAACCTCTGGACTGGCTGGTAAGCCATCTGCACACCACAGCTAAAACCCATTCACAACTGTAACACAAAAAATGAGCGTTAAAAACCAACCACCATCAAGTTTAAAATCTTTATATCACTTTACAGTTCTTGAAGGTGAGCTAATAATTAGTAAATAAAGCAGTTTGTATCGTAAGCAGTTGGCAAGTAAACAATCCAGGAGTGTTTTAAACGCTGCTTTCTGGTTTCCTTGTCTGATGAATGACGATGACAAACTGATATATTTCTCCTGTGTTTTCTGTACAGAATGCTCCAGTAATAAATGACAATGTCACCAAAGCAACTCCCGGCGTCCTGGTTGTGAATATCGTCCGAGGCACTGTGCTCCGTGGGGCTTGCGTTTGGATCCTGGGGAGACGGACTGCTATCTCCCAAATACCACCTCAGTTCATTGATGTCTTCACAGAGATACAGGGCTTCAGGTGTGTGTAGATGGACAGTGTGTTTGTGTTAGGTACAGACTCTAATCCAGGGGTGTCTATTTAAACTACGGCCCTGTGGCCAAATGCGGCCCGCTGTCCATTTTGAATCGGCCCTCAGCCAATTCAAAAAAGTATAATGTAACAAATGAAACTTGTGCTTGTCTTATATTGTACTTTTTAAATATACATGTACACATATATTACACAGTAGTATTCATGTGTTAATAAGCCCACTTTTCAAATAAATTCAGTCAATTAAAGTTGGGAACATTTTCTAACAAATCTTAGTTGATAAGAAAAAAGGCCCAATTACTTATTTGCATAACAAGCTTTGAATATACCCTTCACATTTCCCCTTATTATAATCACTCTGAGGCTTCTGTTTTAAGGGATGAGCTGCCAACAGAACAAATGAAACCCTATAGAGAGCTGTGATATAGGCTGTTCTTTTTCTAAAGCCATTTTCAAGTATCAAGCACACTATACCTAATTAATTTAGCTAACTTATAACTGACCTTATGAGGCAATATACCTCACCTCTAGAGAGTGGCCCAGCTATTCGTATATTTTTCTGTATGTAAAAAACAGTTCGGACGCCCCTGCTCTAATCATTTTCTTAAATTATATTTGCAGGTATTTTAAGTATCCTGTGTCGACTTATTTAGCCCATCCATTTATTAGTTTTGATTATGTACAGTTATACTATTTTTTTGCAGTTCTATACCATTTTTATCTTTTCTCCCCCTCTGTTCTCCAGTGATACGATGAAGGATGAATACCTGACCAAGCGTTATGAAGACGCAGCGCTAGCAGCAAAGATCGTGGCACATTATAAGCTCCTCCCGTCCCTCGTTATTCTCACCCGACAACCCTTCGTGTGCTGGATGGTGGCCACAATGTTCAAGCGCAGCTTCAAATATCGGGGCTATGGGGAGAACCCCCCCAGGCTGACGCCGTTCTACATCAATGTTTTGGTTGTCCAGATGAATCGCAGGCTGGAGTTCTACTACGGAAAGGCGGAAAATGAACTGGTATATTTTTTTGTCTGTCTTTTTATCGTCTCAGTTAGATTAGTTATATTAACGTAACCCCCTTCGTTCGTGAAAATAGAACACCTAATTGCTAAGGGGTCAGGCATTTCCTGAATCTACTTTTTAATACTTTTTACATTTAACATTCAGGGATACAATATCATGAACACCTGTGCCATCTCTTTCATTTTGATTGGCGCTGATTTAAAATCAAACTAGCCTCCAACACCTGTATGACAGAGTTTTAACAAAACAAACAATGCCGTTTGACTGACTTAATTAGTTCAAGCAGACAAAAGAGAAATTTGCGGAGCAGCTAATAGCTAACCAAAATATCAGAATGTTTCACTTCAATGTCTCTTTTCCACTCAGAAGTGGTCTCCTGAAGATAAACACGTGGCGACTAAGATCGGGAAGATGGCCTTCAAGATGCTGGAGAAGGACATCAGTGTGTTCTGTGAAGAGGACGTGAAGGAGTACGGTGTGAGCTTCACGGAGGTGACGTTGTTGTCCGGTCTGTGCACCGAGCTCCCTTCCTCAGATGTGAAGAGGTTCTGCTTCATACACTTCAGCGTGCAGGTACAACTCTCCATCTTACAGCACCTGAGTATCATAAAACCTTATTTGAATTCTGTACTGGTATTATAAAACATGAAAAAAAAACATTCACAATTTAGTTAAAGGGGGTGTGTGGGAGAGAAACTCCCTCTGGAAAGAACTTTGGGATTATAGCCTTTGCAAACCATTTACATGCACTATTCGTACACAAAAGATAAAAGGGAAGAGGAATATTTTTAAATACCAACAAATAACTGAACAATTAACAATGGGACACAGGATTAGAACTGAATCAAAACAACGTCTTCTCCCCTCCAGGAGTTCATGGCCGCTGTGTACGTCTTCACAATGTTTCGCGAAGAGTCCAAAAATGTTCTGGAGACCATGTTGTTGCCGAGAACCAAGTTCTTCGCATCCAAGGATCAGACCAGATCAGTGGCCGGCGTCGTCCAGAGCGCCTTAACGCGGACCCTCAACTCCCCGCTGGGCCACTACGACATGTTCCTGCGCTTTCTGTGCGGCTTGCTCGCCCCGGACTGCCACGACAATCAGCTGGCCGGTTTCCTGTTCCGCTACCACATGCCGAAGGTGGGGGGGCTGGACGAGACGCAGCGGCTGCTGCAGCAGGCAATAAAGACCGCTGAAGTTAAGAATCGAGACCGGGTGGGGAACTTAAAGGAGTGTCTTAGAGAAATGTCCCAGACAGATGAGTGAGTCAGGGTTAAACTGCATCATGGAAATCACTGTCACTTGGAATGGAAATGTACTATATGGAAAAGATAGATACAAATACAGCCTGCTCTGTTATATTTCATCATAGAATTCATGAGTGATCAAAGTGTGATGCTCAAAACAGTGAAAACATAAGTGATAAAGTGACTTGTTCAAGTTGGTGTAATTTTAGCTTTGATCATGTCATACAATGGACGTTGATGAGGATATCAAACAGTCTGTCAGTCCCTGATTCAACAGACGAATGAACATGCTTTCCGTTACATTGGAGTTTAAGCAAAACTACATTTAAGTTTGTCATGTCTTACAATCAGCACTAAGAGACTTCAAATCAGTCATTTTTTAATTTAGATGTGCTTTTCTTTGAAACCATATGCATTGGAAGTCACTTTTGAAACAGGAAAAAACTGAGAATGTCATGAGATTTTAAACAGATGGGAGTTGTAGGTTATGGATGAAAGGTAATAGTATGGGTGAATAATCTATTCCTAAATTAGTCTGGATTGATATTATAGTGTGTATGCATATTTGTCTCGGGTGATTCTTGGTGCTTTTGTACTTGCTGAATTATAGATTCATTCTTCTGTTTACCTTTTCTACCATTAATCAACACAAAATCGAATATTATGGAATATCAGCTTTTATGTGCATTTGTTTATTGTTTTTATATTTATTGTTTTTATATATTACCTGTGAGGGAATAATTCTGTCTTACTCCTAAGATATTTAACCTTTTCTGTGTGTTGACATTTACGACCAACCCTGGCTCTGGTATCTCTCTTAAGGAATGGGAGGCTCCATCTATCTTGATAAACCAGTTCAACTCTCAAATATGTTGTTTACTCTGTCTGAACTAGTTAAAAGGGCTATCGAGAGAAAGGTGCGGGAGAATTGATATGGCAACCCACCAGTGCAGTCAGAACCTTTGACTGTGTGACTTGTGATGTGAATTGTGACAAACATTTAAAGACCCACTAAATGCAATGAACTTTTCTCCGTGTATAAGGTGTGTGTGTGTGTGTGTGTGTGTGTGTGTGTGTGTGTGTGTGTGTGTGTGTGTGTGTGTGTGTGTGTGTGTGTGTGTGTGTGTGTGTGTGTGTGTGTGTGTGTGTGTGTGTGTGTGTGTGTGTGTGTGTGTGTGTGTGTGTGTGTGTGTGTGTGTGTGTGTGTGTGTGTGTGTGTGTGTGTGTGTGTGTGTGTGTGTGTGTGTGTGTGTGTGTGTGTGTGTGTGTGTGTGTGTGTGTGTGTGTGTGTGTGTGTGTGTGTGTGTGTGTGTGTGTGTGTGTGTGTGTGTGTGTGTGTGTGTGTGTGTGTGTGTGTGTGTGTGTGTGTGTGTGGGTGTGGGGCTGTCTTCCCTCAAGAAATATGATACAATAAGGTAAATGCCGATCATTGATAAAGTGAAAATGGATGACATTTTCTGAGCATTTACTGTAATAATCTCCTAATGGATTTGTTCATATATTTTCTAAATATGATTTTTTGCATATTTTACATTGTTGTCCTGAGATCCTTTAACAACAGTGTTTGTATTTGGTTTCAGTCATCTTTTGTGTTTTACTCCACAATGGATTTATATTGGGGGGTGGTTATTGCTTTATTATAAAGAAAATAAAAAAACAAACATTGAATAAGAATTAAGACGCATCACTTACATTTTAAGGTTATAACCATAGACTATATATTAAGGTTATAACTAACCAACAAAAGCTGCAATACCGTTAATAGCCAGAGGAGGGCATCAGCTGCATTAGTTTCTAAAACACTTACCTCAATGTAGGAATACAACAAAATACAATTTGGTAGCTTTCAGGGACCAGCGGCAGTAGAGAGCAACGGGGCATCACTTCACCTGAATGGCAGATAACAAGCTGACAACACGGATACACACATGGATTTGTATACATTCATGAAGAAGGCGATGAAAAGATTGGCTTCTTGTAAGAATAGAGGATGCTGAAATGTAGTAAACTGTTTCTGTGACAGGCAGAGTTCAAATGTCATCACCTGCTGTCTGCCAGTTTGGACTTTCAGTACAACTCTGTTCCAGGAAGGCAGAAGGGAGTCTGTAAACATCATCCGGGAGTTCCTGTTTTCCACATGGAGTGAGTACACACACACCAGACACAATCCAACATATTGTACTCTAATAAGTTGTAGCACAGTTTTAATGGTGTAGTAGTTCTAACCCTTCACGATTTGTTGTACAACTTAAATGGTATCTGCTTCCTAAAAGTGTGTGTTTGTCTGCAGCACAAAGTACTGGAGCTGCTGCCAAAAGAAACGGCCCCAGCAGGGCTGCACTACAGGACGTCGCCTCTGGAGGGAAATTACCCAGGTCAGAGAGGAAATACTCCAACTAAGAAAGATCAAAGTTTAAAAGCGTAGGGCAGACATTTTTCTTATGGTCAACACAGTTTGAAACCAGAGAAATTAGCTCCAGTTCACTTCCAGTGTGCTGCACACATGTTTTAAATTGGTAGTTTCCTGCTCAAACTTTCCTTTAGGAATAATTTTAATTAAATAATGAAAATGTGTTTAACTTTTACCACACACATCACTATTAGCCTACTTATTAATTGCTATGAGGAGATTAAGCATTTTTCCTTCTATCTTCGTCCCAGGGGGCGAGTCAAATTATCATCTCCATTACACCAAACCTCCTAACCTGGGTCAGCTATGTGGAGACTGTCAGCTCCAAGGTAAAACACACAGAAGCATGCAGACACGACAGCCTGCTCACACTCATCACATTCATTCACACACCACTTCTTACATCATCTACATAACACGTCCATATAACTCTGATTGTTGCCAGGTTCCCAGTTTGGTGTTTGAGTAAGATATATAGTTTGAATATAGGAGACCAATCGAAAGGTTGTGTGATCATCTTGCTTTATATTAATAGCAAGGTCTCAAAGAAAGGCAGCTTCCTGTATAAACAATTATTATTATTTATTATTACTTATTTGGGTGAAGTAAAAAAGCTCAACAAATTAAGTTGAAGAAACCTAAAATAAAGAGCTTAAAGAGTAAGTGTTTTTTTCTCAGACCAACATTGACTGGAAATAAGTTTTTTTCCTGCCTCCATGCAAATTATGGATTTATTTTATTATGCTCCCCATTCACAAAACATCAAACATTTAAAAAATAATAATAACATAAAACACCAGAAAGTTGTACTCTGAAAATGGCACTCAGAGATTCACTGTATCACTGAACAGGCATTCCTGGAACATGACATGTTCAGAAAACGGATTGTCCATCTCTGTGTTTCAGGGAGCGTATTTCCTCTCTTCAGAATCTGCTATTATAAAATCATTAATTTGCATAATCACATGGCTTCAGATTGTCTGTGCCTGCGTCATGCAGGTGGAGTTAGGGTCATGGCAGCAGCGTGTACGGTGAATGCTGCGATGCTGATTTGACGCTTGACGTCCTCCCAGGACTTCTGTTTATCAGCTGAGTTCTGGATGTCAAACAATGCATCGTAGATTCCAGGGAAAGACTCCCCTGCATATTTATTGTGGCTGCTGGGAGCAAAAATCACATGCCTGAAAGAGAGAAGAGGGAATGTCAGTTGTGCAGGATGGTTCTTGTCTATTCAAAGCTGCAATATTCATAAGTCTTAATGCAAATATTTAAATGGAAAGTGTGATATGAGGCAAACAATCATAGCTCTGAAAAACTAAATGAAAAGGGTTTTAAACAGCAGCTTGAAATGTGTCAGATGGGAGGTACATTTGGCTTTAATGGAGGAGAAAATGTAAACCTAGAAGCGTAATGAGTAGACATTTGAATAATTTACATATTTCGATTTGGGAGCATGTTTACAGCAGCACATGCCGAATTAAAGATACAACTCTTCCTTCTGACATACACAACACTACAAGGTTTTTCTGAGGAATAATAGAGTTTATCTCCACCTCTTACATTATAAACAAGCCCATCCCAAAGTCTGCTTTAAATCAGCCAAATCTCAAGCCTATGTTTACTTTGAATGAAATGCGATGTACCAGCTGTGATGAGGCTAGTTGAAAGTTGAAATACAGCTGTTCATTAGGTGAATGTGCTGTGTGGATTCTGTTACAGGGCATATATGTCTTGTGATTGTGTAGTTGAGTGGCCTTATTTTTGGTTTGCATCCATCAAATCAAGTTTAATTGCGGTGTGTGTGTGTGTGTGTGTGTGTGTGTGTGTCTCTTTCTGTGTGTGTTTGTGTGTGTGTGTGCGCGTGCGTGTAATGCCCCTTTCACACCAGCGCTTTTTCAGCTCCGGCTCGGAGCTGGAGCCTGAAAAGCGCCGGTTTTTCCTGTTCACACCGCAGCGGCGCCGGCTCTTAGCTCCGGAATCCGGTTCACTGCCAGCTCCAAAAAAGTGTCGGTCTAGAGGCAAGAGCTTCGGAGCTAAGAGGTGGCGTCGCTTACGTCTCTCTTACGTCGAGACGTGCAGGAAACTAAACCCACCTCCCCTGAACATGGGTCGACTGTCATGCCTGCCTACAAGCAGTAGTGCTTATAAACACACTTTATAAAGTCAGGCAACACTAACCAGGCTTCGTGTGATTCTGTTTATTTGTACCTTACTTTGACCATCCGTTCACTGTTATTGATCATTGTGGAGAGAGGCAGACGTGTTGTTTTGTATTATAGCAGCTATCGGAAGGAATCAATACATGGGCTGCACAGGTTGTCGTGTCCGACTATCACAAGTAGAATCATAATAAAAATGTGCCTGTAGAAAACGGTTAATGCCACAATAGGATAGCAATAGCAAGTAGTCAGTTTGGCTTCGGTTGCTATGCTAACATCACCCATTTTATACCAGAGAAACTTTCATAACAGCGTTGTGATGCCAAACAGCGTCAATTCAGACTGACACACATTCAGGGGAACTGGGGATATGTATCAGCTGCTTGTGTGAGTCGGACAGTGAATACTTTAGAGCGGCCGCTGCAGTGTGAGCTAACCGGGAGCTAACGGGAGAATAAACTCCGGTGGAAGAGCAGCCAACACTGCAGCGGTCGGTAATGCCGCAGAAACACATTAATAAACAATGAACCACGGCACTCTGGAGAAAAGCATAAGGTTGGAGAAGTCGTTATTTAATTTAATCTGGCTTCGTGTGATTAAAAGCAACACGATCATCGACCCGACGCAATTGTTGTTGTTGTGAGCGCCGTAACGCCGTTGGGGAGCAAATCAGGGATGTAAACGGTGACGTCATGACGCAGCAGCGGCAGCACCAGTCGGGCTCTGGGCGGTGTGAACAGAGCGGGAGCAGAAAAGGAAAACCGGAGGTGAACCAGAAAAGCTCCCGCTCGGAGTTAGAAAGGGAAAAGCGCTGGTGTGAAAGCCGCATAAGAGACTCACCTGTAAAAGGGTCTGCCAGGTAGGCCTAGGGGGTCTATGAAGGCTCTCTCCAGATACATGAGCTGATCATTCACGATACGTAACTGCAGAGGACTGATAGACGAGCACAACATTATTTTTCACATTATATTTACAGTTATGTTTTTATGCTGATCCCTCTTATATATAAATAGGAAAAACTGAAAATAAGAAATACCTCTCGATACGAAAACAACAAACCTATTTCAGCATTTGACATCCAAAATGTTAAACATATTCTTACTCCGCTTTGTTGAGAGTCTGCAGGCGCTCATGGAAGTCCCTCGCTGCAACAGTAAAGTTCTCCGCAGCAGAAAACAAGGAATCTGAAAATGTAACGAAAAGGGAAAACAACATTTAAAAGCAGCTACATTCTGAGAAAAATGTGCTATTTGGCCATATCGTTTAAACATTTTAAGGATATTTAAAGTCGATATATACTGAAGTCAACTCACCAAACGACACCCTGTACGTGTTCATCTCCTCTGGGTGCCTGTGTCCCAGCTGTGCGATGCTCTGAGCGTACTTCCCGAGCGCGTCTGCATACTGGTTAACATCGAGAGGGAGCAGCTGGGAATCAGCCAATTGGAAGATGAGCCCCC